AAAAAAAAAAAAAAAAGCCGCGATCGGCGGCGGCAGTTCGGCGGCAGGTCCTTCGCTCCTAGAGGGAGTGACGGACCTGCCGCCCCCAAATTGCCGCAGGTGCCGCCCCTCTCCCTTGGCCGCTCCAAGCACCTGCTTGTTAAGCTGGTGCCTGGAGCCAGCCCTGGGTGCATGGGGGAGCAGCCTGGGTTTTATTTGAATTGAGGTAAGTCACAGAGGTGGATGAATCATCCTGTCCCACATAGCTGCCTCCCACCACGCTGCTCAGTAGGGCTTGCTTTAGTATGGAGTATGGACGCTGACTTGGTTATTCCAAGTTGTCAGGGTAAGAGATCAAAGAATGCTTGGGTACCGTGGTGGTTGCTGCATGACAGATAGATGGGGTGTGGGGGAGTGTATGGAGATGGAAAGATAAATACCTACATATTTACTGTGGTTACGTGTATCAGCCTTTGTGAACTCAATTCTCCTCTGACTCACGTCCTGTGATTTGACCTGTCAGGCCAAGTTCTGCCCTCAGTTACGTCAACATAAATCCCGAATAACTCAATTTAAGTCCGAGGAATTAGTCCAGATGTGGGCTGCTATAAGCAGAATTTGGTCTGTTGATATCCCTGGGCATAAGCATGGGATTTTTGCGGTGAGTGTCTGAATCATGGCATCTTAAAAGTTAGTGCAGGGGAAAAACCTATAGTATTAGATTCCTGGGAGACCCTTCCCCACCTTTCTGCCCCCTCAGACAGGTCAGGATTGTTCCTTATAGTGTAATCACAAAGGCGAGTTGTCCACTATCCCACAGCACAGTAATGGGATCATAGGACAGTCCAGAACGGGGGTGAGTTTGCTTACGGGTAATTAGGTCTGGAACCAGACATGCAGTTCTCCGGAAACATTCACTCCATGTGCAGCAGCTCACGGTGTTTTAGAAACCATTAGGGAAGGGATTGATAGTAAGACAGAAAATATCATAGTGCCACTATATAAATCCATGGCACACCCAGAACTCGAATATTGTGTCCAGTTCTGGATACCGCATCTCAAAAGAGATGCATTAGAATTGGAACATATGCAGAGAAGGCCAACAAAAATGATATGGAATATGGACCAGCTTGCATAGGAGGAGTCATTAAAAAGACTAGGACTGTTCAGCTTGGAAAAGAGATGACTAAGGGGGGGATATGATAGAGGTCTATAATATCAAGAATGGTGTGGAGAAAGTGAAGGGAAGTGTTATTTCCCCCTTCACATGACACAAAAACCAGCGGTCACGCAATGAAATTAATAGGCAGCAGGTTTAAAACAAACAGAAGGAAGTACTTCTTCATATGATGCACAGTCAGCTGGTGGAACTCATTGCCAGGGGATGTTGTGAAGGCCAAAAGTATAACTGGGTTCAAAAAAGAATTAGATAAGTTCATAGAGGGTAAGTCCATCAATGGCTACTAGCCAAGATAGTCAGGGATACAACCCCGTGCTCTGGGTGTCCCTGAACCTCTGACTGCCAGAAGCTGGAACTGGCGGACAGGGGATGGATCGTTGGATGATTGCCCTGCTCTGTCCATTCCCTTTGAAGCGTCTAGCACTGGTCACTGTCAAAGACAGGTTACTGAGCTAGATGGCCCATTGGGCTGACCCAGCTTGGCCGTTCTTATGTTCTTAGCCTGTAAGTGTTACATCTCTTCTCCTCTTCCTTACTAGAGTCATGGGAGAGCGCTGCCGTCAGCAGCAAGAGCCGATGCTCTGAGGAGCACGTACTGACCTGCACGTTTGAAGCCTGTGACCTGGAACAAACAGGTAGAAAGCTTTCTAGTGTCAGCCGGAAATGCACAGCCCCTGCAGAGTCCCAGCCACTTCAGTGCTGCCAGGAAATCAACCTGTGCGTTAGATTCGAAGGCTCCTTTCAGAGTGGAATCAGCCAGTGAGCGTTCAGATGGCAAATCCCAGCCCCTGCACCTACCTCCCATTCTCAAGACCTTTGAAAAAACCTCCTTGCGTCCTAGTGTCCTGTACCTGGGATCTTCCACTCTCCTAGGAGTTAACAAGGCTGAGTTGAAAGCAGGCTGCATGGTCAACTTCCTGGAGGGGTGGGGGGGCTATACTGCTATGAAGCAGAAGGGGCATAGATTACCATGTAGCTGCAGCAGAGATGGCCCCACCTGTTAATTAGAGGTTGCATTGACCTCAGTGGGTCACTTTGAAAACAAAGTCACTTTATTTAGGTGCCTTGATGTGGATTTAGGACAATACACAAATCCATTGTCAACTACACAGGGATTCCAGCAACTCAAACACCTAAATCCCTTCCAGGGTCTGGGCCTCCCTCCCATTGATTCCACTGATCTCCAAACTCCCAGGCCATCTCTGTAGTCACAAGACGAACCTTCCATCTCTAGCAATGTTCCCGGTTTGCTAGGGGGTGAGTATTGGTGTGTCTGAATTTCTGATTGCAGGACAGGTGTCTGTTTTCCATATTATCGAGTACTTACAGTCTGTGACAGGGCAAAGCTGTGAGGAAGGGAGACTGCAGTTGCTTTACAAAATGCTGGACCCAGAAGAGAGGGGCGTCACTGTGGATTTATCGACCTTCCATGCTGTCATGAAGAACTGGATTGCAGATTGTCGGCAGGATGGGTGAGTAGATAATTTAGGAACAGCTGTGGCTTAGGTGTTACAACCCCACAGCAAGAGAGGGTAAGATTTTCATCCACAGAAAGGGAAACTGAGGCACAGACAGGTGAAAGGCCAGATGTTCAAAGGTACTTTAAAAAAAATGGAAACGAATGGGTGTTTGGCACCTAAGGCCTTGTGAATATCCTGCTATGCACCGATCTGCATCTGCCAAGTGGCTTGGCCTGCCAGGGTTACCCAGGAACTCAGTGGAACCCAGGAGTCCTGACTCCCATTCCCTCCTGCTCTAACTTCCTAGACAACACAACACCACAGAGCAGCAAATAGAACCCAGGAATCCTGCTCTGCCCTCCTAGTCTATATTCTCTCCAAGAGTTGGGGCCCAGGAGTCCTGACTCCTACGCCCCTGCGGGGACTTGATATACATCTCCCAGAGTTGTTCTAGGAGTCTCTTTCTCTTATCAGAGAACCACACTGCTGTAAGAATCCACGCCCTGTGCCGTCCAGCTGTGTATCTATGTGATATGTGCCTCTTAGTCTTTAACAAAAAAAAAAAAGGCTTCCAGAATCAGCTCTCGTTATCAATATTAATATTTATTACCTCTGTTCCCTTCCAACTAAACAGCCACATGAAATGCATAATATAACCCTTCTCTGGGCTTTCTATCAGAGCTTTATGGACAACCCCTAAGGCTCACCTGTTGCGTGCATAGCTTTTCTGACTTAAATCATTAAAGAGACCTGATCGTTTCTTACCCCCGACTAATTAAGCGACCGTCCTGCCTTAATTACAGCGTGGTACAACACCCCCCACTAAACTTGAAGAACTATTTTCATCCTTGTGTTTATTAAGATGCGGGGAGTGAATAGGGAAAATATTCACCCGATACGCACAGAGCACGAGATTCATTTAGTACGAATGGTGATAAAGTGGGAATTATGACTATTAATTTATGTTTCTTCCAGGGGATTAGACAGCACGAAGGAGCGAGATAAGTTTGTGGACAATATGTGCCTGTGGCCATCTGGTAAGTTGTGCTGAAAGGGATAATAAAAAAAGGACAGTGTATTTAATTCTAAATATAGACGGTTCGGTAATGCAGCCTGCTGTGCTACTGATTGGCCTGACTGAGGCGTCTGTCCTTGCCCTTTCTGCTGGGGACACAGGAAACCACCCAGGTTTTGAAAGACGCTCATAATTAATCCTTGCATAGCCCCTCTGTCGCTGTAGCATCTGAGCACCTCCTGAGGGTTTATAAATAGAATAATCAACAGTGGTCTCTCTCTTCCTGCCTGGTCTGTAGGAGAAAGAGCTTGATTAGCTTGTAGGGCAGAAGGGTTGTGTCTGATTGGGTTTGTCTGCGTATGTGAAGGCGTGTGGTTCAAGGGTCTTCTGGGACCCAATTCTGGGCTTCTGCAAAGCAGCCAGAAAGCTGGCCGAGCTGGCTACCTGGGAGTTCTTAGGGCAATCTTCAGATGATGGGACTGAACCCAGGAGTCTGGACTCCAACGGGAGTTAGGCGCCTAAATGCCTTTGAGGATCTGGTCCTAAGTGCCTTCCTCTGCCCTCACTTCTTTGGTGGGTGTGGTATATGAGCCTACATTATACTTTGTATGAGGATAGACTGAGTAGGCCTGCCACGCCAGGTCTTTCCCCCCAGCCTCTGGCACAGGAAAGCGGGGATGTGGCCAGAGTATCTCTGCATTCCAGTTATCCCAGCCACAGTCACAACCTCTAAGGGTTACCAGCAGCCATGGGTAAGTTAAAACAACCTCTGGGCTGCTCTACCTTATGCTGAAGACTCAAGTGCTCTCTGGATAGCTCCAGAATTGGGGAAACACAGACAGCATTCAGCCACCTTTGCACCCCCTACCCCCAGCGCAGCTTAGAAGCTGGGACATCCTCCCGTGGCACATCTCCAGTGAGCCCAGGAGGGGCCAGTGGCCTTTCACAGACAAGAGAAAGACTCTTAAAGGTCAGTTATAACGTATTCCTCAGTTTAATACCCCTCCTAGCCGGTGAGTGGGAGCCAGTGAGCAGGTGTTCCTGGGCATAATTCGATATTGATCTTCAGGTTGCCATTTGCTTTTCCTACTCCTGGCAGCCGCGAGCGTCACAACCAGAAACCCATTGTAAGGCTGTGGTCCTGACATTGCTCTCTGGTTTTCCTCTTCAGGGAGGAGGAGGCCTGTCTCTAGTGGTGCTCAGTTAGAGGGATATGGCGGGGATGTCAGCAGTGTAAACTCGTAAGTATTAACTTCTTATAGTCAGCCAGATCAGGACGGCTGAGATGTAATTGACCCATGCTGTAGGATATTAGAGGCTCATACCTGTGTAAGTTTCCAGAAAAGGATTAGATGCTACTGTATGCGAACAGCAGCCACAGGGACCATTCACATGCTTCAGGGAGTCAGGAAGGGATAACTCTCCTAAGTGTGCCATGTTCAGTAATGAGATGCATTCACAATCACGCCCTTCTCCCAACCAGCCAGCACCGGCCACTGTTAGAAACCGTACGCTGGCTTAGCTTGATCGCTAGCGTGATCTGGATTGATCACTCTCTGGCGGGTCTTACCAGGTGCTGCCGATCCAGGTCTCCTTTGCCAGCCTGTAGGCAATGCCATCTGATCGCCACCCAGTCAGGTGTGATATGGGGTGGGGGTGTTCCAGTCCATTTCCTAGCGGGGCTAAGACAAAAATCTCAGGCTCAGTGACTGAACGCCCCCCCCGATCAGTGCTGGGCCTGTGGTGTGGAGACTGGGGTGGAGTGGGTGATGCTGTTTGGCGTGACGGTAGTGCAAGTGAGGCGAGATCTCCCTACCGACTGCCCCCTTGCCTTCATTCATGCCGGTCTCCAAGGGAAGAGGCTGCCGCCTTGATGAGCAGCATTGAAGACCTGGAGTATGGCAACAAAAAGTTGGCTGTGCAGAATGCCAAGTTGCAGAGGACCATCGAGGCAGCTGAGGAACTCAACTCCCGCCTCACCGAAGAGCTCTCCCAGCTGCAAGGCAGACTGAGAAGGTGAGTGGGATGGGAGGCAGCCGGGGGGCTGCAGGGTGCAGGCTGAGGGGCACTGCCCCCCTCTCTGGTTTAGCGCTGACTTTGATGCCCCAGCACAGCTCTAGGGGCAGTGTGCTTCAGGGAGCTGTGTGTGACACTCAGTAGGGGATGCTCTCCTCAGGCAGGCAGTGCTGGCCCCAGTGTGGTGCTGAAGGGAGCGGGGCAGGGGCTGAACAGGGGGCGCACTCCCCGGCACTCACTGCTGGCCCCACTGCTCCAGTGTGTTGTTTGGAGGTGATAGGGTGAGGTCTACATTAAACATGCTGATTGCTCACAGTCTCTGAGGTCCTGAGGCATGCTCACTGCAGGATAGGGCTTGCTCTTCCAGGTGTTGCTGGCTACATCCCAACCTGGCTAATTCCATTCCGCCTCCCTAAATTCCCCTGCCTGAGGTGCGGACCGGGTACAGGATTCACCTTGCCTTCCCGTGCCCAGCTGCTGTGCAGCCTCGGTGCGTGCTGAGACACGGCCTCCACGTCCCATTCCTGGCTGGCTGTATTTAAATGGCAGGTGAAGCACTCGGTCTGGGGTTATTATTATTTGTTCGTTATTTCACGAGGCTTCAGCAATCTCCCCCTTCTGGGCGCTGGATATTTTAAACCGAGTAGCCGCTGTGTGTTTATGGAGGGGAATTTAGCAGCTGTATTCATTGCTCGGATTGGAAGCTCTTTGGGGCAGGGACCGTCTTGTTGCTCGGTTTGTACAGCACCTAGCACACTGGGGCCCTGGTCAACCACTGGGCCTCTAGGTACTACCAAAATACAAAGAGTAATAACGAATACATCCATCATTTACCTGAACCATTGCAACTCCTAAGGCTTCCAAGGAAACTCAGATATCTTATTCAGTGACACTTGGCCCTGTACTGCAGTTATTTTAGGCTACTTTGACTGTTGCTAATTAAGAGGTTTGAATTACTGGCCTCTCCTAACCGGCTGCTCTCCTTGGTAGCACGCAACAGGCCCTGGAACAGGCTAAATCAGTGGCTAGCGAACTAGAAGACCTGAAGGCTATTGCAAAAAGTCTGGAAGAGGAGAAGGGCAAACTTTACTCACAGGCCCGACAGCTGGTAGGTGCTTGTGAGTCTTTGTTTCAGCAACATTTCCCTGGCTGGGGGTTCAGGCAGCTAGCCTGATTTCACTGGGGAAGCAGTATTTCCTAGTGGCTAGAGCAGTGGGGCTAAGACTCCTGGGTTCTATCACTGCCTTGGGGGTGGGGGAGAATCAGGTTAGAACAGGGAGGGCTGGGAGCCAGGGCTTCTGGGTTCACTACCTGAAACTGCTGCTGATTTATCATGTGGCTTTGCACAAGTCACGCACTCTCTCTGCAGCTGTTTGCCCAGTTGTGAGACTATGTTTATGTAACCACCCAAGAAAATCTCAACTTCCTTGCCTTCTCTTTGCTGAGAGCCTCAGAAAGTGACCATGTGAAACTGACACACCCCTGATTTACACCAACTGATAACCCAGCAGTGCAGTGCGGAGGAAAATCCGCAGGGGGGAGCATGTGGGAGAGCAAAACCTTTTCCCGGCGACTGCCCATAGTGTGCCCGCTTTGTGGGATAAAAAGAAGATTTCAGCCCGTCAATCTGGCGCTTTTTGCCAGCACTGAGTACACTTCAGTTTTTGTTGTCTTTCTTTAAACCCATGGGCATTTCAAAGTTCCCATCTGCTGCAGCCATGAGTGGTTTCTTGGCGTGGCACAGCTGTCGTGGGGCACTCGGCTCTTGATGCAAATTAACCACCCGGATTGCAGGGGGATGTAAAAATAAATGTGTGTTGATAACAAGTAACACCCGCAGCCCAGTTACTGCAATTTATTGAACCGAGACGTGGCCATTCCTTTAATAATGGCATAGGCAAACTCTGCGGGATACAGCTTAGGTCCATGTTTGTTTTGTTTTTTAAACTTATAGGAGAAGGAACAGCTGTGCCTCTCTCTACAAGTGGACTGTCTTCAAGAGGAGGTGAGGAGGGCTCTGGAGAGTAACAAAAGTTTGGAACCGTCTTTGTGAAGTCAACCATGTCTGTACGTTAATGCCAAATCACCAAGAACCACGCAGGGGGCAGTGTGGGTGATTCAGTGGGAGGCGGTCTCCCCTCTGAGTCAGTAGTGAATTGGGAGAGAGCACAGAGGAGGTCTGGAAAATCTGCCTTGCAATGAAATACAATCTCCTTAGCTCATCACAGAGAAGGTGAAAAGGGGACTAAAAGGTCTGTGAGTCCCTAGAGAGCTCCTTAAGGTAGCAGCCAAAGGTGGAGTAGCATCCAGGGGTTGGATGCTGAGGCTAGATCAGGGGTGGGCAAACTTTTTTGGCCCGAGGGCCACATTGGGGTTGCAAAACTGTATGGAGGGGCCGAGTAGGGAAGGCTGTGCCTTCCCAAACAGCCTGGCCCTGCCCCCTATCCGACTCCTCCCACTTCCCGCCCCCTGACTGCCCCCCTCAGAACCCCCAACCCATCCAACCCCCACTTCTCCTTGTCCCCTAACCACCCCCTCCCGGGACCCCCCGCCCCTAACTGCCCCCGGGGTCCCACCCCCTATCCAACCCTCCCTGCTCCCAGTCCCCTGACTGCTCTGACCCCTATCCACACCCCCGCCCCTTGACAGGCCCCCAGAACATCCGCCCCATCCAACCGCCCCCTGCTCCCTGTCCCCTGACTGCCCTCCGGAACCCCCCACCCCTTATTCAACCCCCCGGCCCCCTTACCATGCCACTCAGAGCAGCATGTCTGGCAGCTGCACTGCCTGGCCGGAGCCTGCCACACTGCTTGGTAGGAGTGCACAACCCTGCCGCCCAGAGTGCTGCCTGCGCGGCGGCTTGTCTGCGGGAAAGGGGGGACAGCCGGGGAGGGGCCGGGGGCTAGCCTCCCCGGCCGGGAGCTCAAGGGCCGGGCAGGACGGTCCCGCGGGCTGGATGTGGCCCGCGGGCCGTAGTTTGCCCACCTCTGGCCTAGATACATTCAGGCTGGAAACAAGGCGTGCAATGTTAGGAGCGAGGATTATTAGACATGTCACTTTGGAACAATTTACCAAGGGATAGGACAGAGTCTTTAGGACTTGGAGTCGTTAAACCAAGACAGGACGTCTTTCTGAAAGAGACATTTTACCTCAACCACTAGATATGGGGCGGGCGGTGGGAAATTCTGGGTAAAATACTCAGTGTTCTGCCGGAGGTCAAGCTATATTATCCGAATAGTCCCTTCTGGCTTCAACATCAATTATTCCAGTGTCCCAGCGTTGTGCTGGGGGCAGGGGGCTCCGAGGGGACACTCTCCAGCAGCAGTGCTGACTCCAGGGCCCCAGTGCAGCAGCAGGAGCAGTTTCGGCTGGATGTGGAATTCATTTTCGCTTCCTGTGCTAAGCTGCTTGCACCTTTCAACTGCTTGTGCGTCCCACCCCAGCAGCGGCTGCATTTCATTGGCGAAGGGGCCAGAGGAGCAGCTAGAGAGCTCCCTTCTCATGTCTCTTTGCTATGGTTTGCTAATTAACCCTAAGCTTGACCTGCGGCTGCTTTACAGAACAGGAAGCTGCTCACAGAGAGAGACAGAGTGAAGCAGAAGGTTGCGGGGCTGGTTGCTGAGAAGGCAGATCTGAAGGTACTAACAACCATTGCAAACATGCATGTCACCTAAATCAGTTGCTAGGCTCTAAGTACCTCCTCCTGAACAGCGCTGAGAACCCACAGCTTCTGTTGGCTTCCTTGAGCAGCTTGCAAGCAAGCGTGTGAAGCCCAGCAAAGACTTTTGCATCCGTACAAGTCCTCCTAGCTGTTAAGCAGAGTGGTCAGAAATTTTCCGATCGAAAATGCTGATATGACAAAATCTAAACGTTTTGCGACATCGTCTCGCTTTCAACAGGAAATTATCAAAAGGTTCCATTTTGACTATTCTATTCTAAATTATTTTCATATAAAACATTTTTTGGAATGTTCGTTTTGTGAAAAATGATGAGATTTCTACTTTTCATTTTAAAATGTTTGAATTTCCCAACATTTTGGCCTGTATCGTGTAGTGGCTTAGAGCATCTGAGTGGACATCAGGACACCTGGGTTCTATTCTTAACTCTGCCATTGACTTGTTGTGTTATCTTGGGGGAACACTTCTCTTTCCCCACCCTATGCCTCAGTTTCCCCTGCTGCAAAATGGGATTAATGCCATAGTGCACGGGATTGGACATGGGGAATTCCAGTCCTACATTTCTATGATCCTATACCACCCCACTTTCCCACTGGGGTTTGAAAATTTACCAGTGAATGTCAGGTATTTTGAGATCTTTGATGACGGGCTAAGGGTGAAGTATATATTTCCTTTCTCTAGACCCAGCTCTGTGAATATGAAACTCTCCTCTCCTGCAAAGACACTGCCCTTACTGAGGTGAGCAATCGGTATGTGACTGCGAACAGGGTGGGTGGTGTTGTTTCTAGTACTGAATTTTCCTTTCTGTCCATCCTCCTGTTTGTTTGTTTCGCTGGACTGGCCCTCAGCAAACCCGGGTTCTGTTCCCGGCTCAACTGTTGGCCTGCTAGGTGACCTTGGATCAGTCACTTGGCCGCTCTGTGACTCAGTTTCTCCACCTGTACAGTGGGTGTAATGACACTAACCTCCTTTGTAAAGCGCTTTGAGATCTAGCGAGAAAAGTCGTTGGTAAGAGCAGGTGTTATTGTCACTGATGTGTGTTGTGTACAGCTGCCTTTAAACTTCCAGCCAGCAGAAGTTATGGGTCTCGATGCAGGTGACGTTCTCTGGCCTGTGTCATGCGGGAGGTCTGGTTACATGAATACAATGGTCCCTCTGGCTTTAAAACCTATGCAAATCGTGGTTCTGGGTGTGCTGTCAGTGCTCGTCACAACCAGCGGGTGTCGCTGCACCCTCACAATTAAGATCAAAGCTAGACCTGTGTCTAATAAGCAGCCACGCGGGGATAATCTGTCAGAGCCCCCTTTGAAGCAACAGAAGTCACCATGACAGAGGGGGCAAAGCTGTTTTTTTGGGGCTTTTTACAGAAAACAAACCGTGCCGAAGAACTGACAGCGATGCTGGCGGAGTACAGGACAGTGGTGCAGGTAATGAATGGTCCTGTCCATCTGCTCCGTTGGCCTCTTCACCTGATTCACCAAAGAGCTTGGATCGTCCCTGCCCAGCCCTGTGTGCTCTCTCTGTATCCTCCTCCTGGAGCAGTGAACCATGGAGGAGACAGGTGTCCTAGGCCAAATGGCCCCCAAAAGTATTCACGCCATTGTGCCAGGCACCGGTGAGACCTCTGTGTCCAGTGCTGGTCACCCGAGTTCAACAAACGGTGATAAACTGGCCAGGGATGAGTTTAAACTGGAAATTAGAAGCCGGTTTCTAACCATGAGAGCAGGGAGTTTCCACAACAGCCTCCCCGGAGGAGTGGTGGGGGCAAACATTAGTCTGATCGTGGAGCTTGATAAGTTTATGGTACCACGGAGTGGCCTGCAGGGACTAGGTTCAATGACCGAGGACTCCCAGGAGATCCCTAAGTTCGGCTGGGCCTGAATCTCAGGGACTCTGCTCCTGCACCAGGGGCACGGGGGTGAGTGTTGGAGGAGCAGGTTAAGGTGTCTTTAAGCCAGAGGTAGGCAAACTACAGCCCGCGGGCCACATCCGGCCTGCGGGACCGTCCTTCCCGGCCCTTGAACTCCCGGCCGGGGAGGCTAGCCCCAGGCCCCTCCCCCGCAGATACGCCGCTGTGCGGGCAGCGCTCTGGGCGGCGGGGTTGCGCACTCCTGCTGAGCGGCGCGGCAGCGTGTCTGGCTCTGGCCAGGCGGCACGGCTGCCAGACATGCTGCTCTGAGTGGCATGGTAAGGGGGCCGGGGCTGGGGAGTTGGATAAGGGGCAGGGGGTTCCGGGGGGCGGTCAGGGGATGGGGGACGGGGGGGTTGGATAAGCGTGGGAGTCCCGGGGGGCCTGTCAGGGGGCGGGGGTGTGGATAGGGTTCAGAGCAGTCAGGGGACTGGGAGCAGGAGGGGTTGGATAGGGGGTGGGGTCCTGGGGGCAGTTAGGGGCAGGGAGTCCCGGGAGGGGGTGGTTAGGGGACAAGGAGCAGGGGGTGTTGGATGGGTTGGGGGTTCTGGGGGGGGGTGGGAAGTGGGAGGAGTTGGATAGGGGGCAGGGGCCAGGCTGTTTGGGGAGGCACAGCCTTCCCTACCTGGCCCTCCATACAGTTTTGCAACCCCAATGTGGCCCTTGGGCCAAAAAAGTTTGCCTACCCCTGCTTTAAGCCATCTTTGCACTCCTTGTATTCCAGAGCTGTGGAATAGGGGGCCCTGGCGTAGGTTAGAGTGACCTCAGGGCTGCTCTAACTTAAAGCCTGCTTCCTATGGTCCCCTCTGGCCACGCCTCCAATCTGGCTCCTGTGCGGCTTGGGTAGCTGAGAACAGCCACAATGCCGTGTGCTCCGGCCATGCCCCCCACCGGCCCCCTATGCCAGGGGCTATGGGGAGAGCCGTTATATTCCTTGCACAATGGGGAGTTTCTAGAGGGCCATTTCTGCCCCACTTTAAGGACCCTTTACTGTGCCAGGGCCACCTAGAGGTGTGCAAGTGTAACCGAGAACTAGGCCCGCTGGCTGTAGCAATGCCTGATGAGCTGGGTGGTTTGGGAGAACACGGCTTATGTGGCAGAGGAAACTCCAGAGGATCTGTCCTTCCTCCACAGGAGCTGAGACTGGAAACAAGCCAGCTGCAGGAGCAGCTGTGCCAAACCACCGAAGACCTGGCCATGTAAGTCCTTCTGAGCAGCCCCTCCTTGGTACCCAGCGCCGTTCACTGTCTGTACACCAGCCAGGCTGGCACGAAGGGCAGGGAGAATGTGTCAGAGACCGGGGTGTGGGCGGTTTGAGCAGGAGTCCGTAGCCAGGCATAGGCACCCCAGGTCAGAGCAGGAGTCAGAGGCCAGGTGCCCGAGCCAAGGGTCAGAGCCGAAGTCAGGAATTGGAGCTGAGGTCAGAGCCGAGGTGAAGTAGGAGCAGGGCTGGGTCCAAGGCTGGGGACAAGCAGGAGCTATCACAGCCACCAAACGGCTGCTGCTGGGCTGAGCTGGTCTGCTGACCCCTCCTAGCCATCAGGCAGCCTGCTACAGGTCCTGATCCTGACAGGACACCCCCCAGGGCACAGCCACCTGAGTAGCAGCCCCAAGCGGGCTGGAGGAAGGGGGTGCAAAGGAGTGTAGCTGAGAGAGCCTTATTCCCTGGTTATTATTCTGTGCCACAGCTGAGTCCCATGGGGCCACCGGAGGATGGACATTACGGAGAGCAGCCCGTAGGGGGCGCCCTGCAATCCCTGAAGAAGTAAGGCAGGAGCGGCGCTGTGGGAGCTCTACCGCACGCACCGTACAGTCTGATGCGTGCAGCTTCCCGCTCAGAGTGTTGGGGGTTGCTTCTGGGCTCTAGTGCATACCCGGCGGCATGCCACTGGCTCCCCCGAAGGGTGCCTGGTGAACGCTGTCCGTCCTGCATGGGAATTGCAAGGCCAGCGCTCTGTCCCGTCCCCTCCGGCAGCCAGCTGCTAGCAGGGACGGTCCTGGAATAACCTGCTCAGAAGGGAACCTCAGGCAGATGAAATCATGGTTTATTCCCTGAGCCATAAACTATCCCATCTAATCTGTCCCTGTGTCTGTCTAATGAGGGCAGACACACACACACACCCTGAGGCCTAGGTTAGCTCACTCCAGAGCCAATGGATGGAAGCTGAAGCTGACAAATTCAGACTAGAAGTGAGATGCCGATTTTCAACAGAGTGTAATTAACCAGTGGAACAACTCACCTCGGGACGGGCGGGTCTCTCCATCAGTCTTTTAATCAAGACAGAGTGTCTCTTCATAAAAGCTCTGCCCTGGCTCAGCCAGGAGCGAGGGGCTCGTTTCAGGAATCCCTTCTCGTGTGCTCTGAGTGATGGTGAGACGAAACGGGAATCCTGCGTCCAGTTCTGATGTCGTCGTTTTAAAAAAGATGTTGCAAAATTGGAGAGGGTGCAGAGAAGAACTGCAGAAATGATGCAAGAGCTGGGCAAAACAGTGCCTGGCGGTGAGAGACGCAAGGAGCTCAATCTGTTTAGTGTCTCCAAAAAGAAGGGCAAGAGGTGGTTTGATTACAGTGTCTGGGGAGAAAATCCTGGGTATTAAAGGGCTCTTTAATCTCATGGAGAAAGGCAGAATGAGAACCAGTGACTGGCACTTAGACGGACAGACCTAGATTAGATAGGTGGCAAAACTCCCGGGGTGTGTGTGTGCACATTGTGTGACCGGGGCCTTGCCCTGTCATGCTGCGTACCAGGCTCCCTTTATAAAGGGCGAATCAGCGATCAGTAGATCTAATAAACATGTAGCGGACGGGAGCAGCGCGGGTTAGAGACGGTTCTAAGCCCCTCAGCGCAAGGTGTTATGGACCGTGCTAAGGCACCTCCTGAGCTGTGGGGCTCTAACGACGGGTTACCCATTCGTTAAAACCTCTGCACACCCTTTATATCTGGAACCGTAATGTAATGCATGAACTGCTCGCCTTACCGCGATATGGGATGGCTGTAACAATTTGCCAGGGAGAGGTCAGGGCACTTGTCATTCTTTGGCAGGGGTGTCAGAAAGGTGGGAGGAGGAGCAGAGAGCATGGGAAGGGGAGCTCGGGCTGCTCTCACAGGGCAGGGATGCTGGCCCCAAAAAAACCAGCTAGGGTTGCCAACTTTCCAGGATTGTCCTGGAGTCTCCAGGAATTAAAGGTTAATCTTTAATTGAAGATTATGTCATGCAATGAAACCTCCAGGAATACGTCCAAGCAAACTCGGCAGCCCTGTCTCCAGCGAGTGCCTAGGGACAGCTCTGAAACCCGCGTTTCACATCTAGCCCATCCCCTGCCCCTTAGGGTGGGGCAGGATTGTTCCCTGTAGCCTCTTCCCCAGAGCTAGACTGAAATTCAGCTCCCCGCCTTGCTAAAGCCCAGGGCAGATGTGTAATGTGAGCTCCCTGCTCTGCCTGCTGGGACCTCTGCGCTGACCTCACCGCTTCCCAGCTCAGACCCCAGTGCCTGACGTAAAACTGGGTTGCATGGCTGGGGACAGGACAAATTTCACCGGAGGCTGGAAGCTAGGCTGCACCTGCTTGGAAAGGGCCCTGATCCACGAGCTACCGGGTGCATGCAGAAACACTCCTCCCAGCCCTACTCTCTGGTGATCTTTATCCAGCGATTGTCGGGCTCCGGGGCCTGTCTCTCATAACTCGGCATGAACACTGCAGGCGCACCACGCTGTGCAGAGGTGAGGTGTGCGGTTTGAGCAAAGTCTCTTCCTGCCTCATGCTCAGGAGGAAGCTGTGGGGCTTGGACGCCACAGGAAGAAATGTTGGGGGCAGGGAGACAGTTCAGTTTGCTTAGCAACTCTCCCGCACTGGGGATGGGAGATCCAGACGACCCCAGAGAATCAGGTTTCTGAGCTCTTCTCTGGCCCTGCCCATGTTGCATTGATGATAATAAAGGCTCAGAGTTATGAAGGACTGTGGGTAAGGCACTGAACTCAGGAGAACTGGCTTAGTTCCCAGCTCTGCCACAATTACCCTCATCTCTCTCTCTGCTTTGGTTTCCCCATCGGAGGATGATAATCCTTCTCTTGGCTGTTTAGACACAGGTACAGCACCTGGTCCCATAGGGCATTGGTGCTGCTGCCACGCTCCTAGCAATTGGCTGGGTGTTTTCCCCCTGGGTCACCCAGGGCCCATTTTTGATGATGCAAACTGCTCTCAGATCACAACAGTCAGGGATGGAAAAGTCACCGGGGCACAGGGGAGTCGGGCCTGGGTTATCATTGTAATGTTTGTACAGCGTCCCAGGCACCATATAATGGAGCTAAATCCATAGCAAAAAGAGCTCGGTGGCCCAGGAGGCAGATCTGCCAGAGGCCGTATAGTCCCAGCTCTGCCACTGCTGACCTAAGGCAACCAACGCCCTCTTTCTGTGCCAGCCCCACGGTGCTCGGTGCTGTACAAACATTGAACATAAAGACCCTCCCTGCCCTGCAATTTTGAATTCAGAGCTGATTGCTGGAAATTTCATTGGCCTTAACTGTAATTAAACCATCCAGACTTCAAATGGTAAAGATTAAAAATTAAATAGCCAAAGCTCTGGCCCACCTGAGTCTGGCCATGAGCTGACCTCTAACTACTGGGGAGTAGACTGTGGAACTCATAGCCACATGGTTCTGCTGGGGCCAAGCATTTAGTACAATTCAAAGAGGGGTTGGATATTTATGTGACTAGCAGGGATATCCCAGAGGTTAGACGACTGAATGCTGAGGCTGGAAGAGGAAAGAGAACTGACTGTCTTTATACAGGCTGCCGAAGGAGCTGCCCCACGAGCGTAAACCCCACGTTCAGCTTCCGGCACAGCCGCTCTGCGTGGAGATAGAAGAAATCCAGCAGGTAGGGGGAAGGGCAGCCTGGCTCTCTCATTGTTCTGGCAAGCCCAATTAACCTTGTGCTTTGATCCTGGCGGAGTTCAAAAGTCAAGCCAGGCTAGGCCTGCCCAGTAGCTGTCCTGGAGGCCTCAAAGGAACAGCTAAGGGTAGTAGCGTTGGTGATGCACTAGGGGGCACTGGCCCGCAGCATGCAGTAGGGGGTGCTGTGTCCTCAGACTCCATGCTGGCCCCCAGTTCCCCAGCAAACTCAGAACAGTGAGGGGAATTAACCACTTGAAACGGCTCTGGTGGATTCCCCGTCCCAGGCCTTCTTTAAATCAAGATGGGCTGTTTTTCTAAAAGATCTGCTGTAGTTGAAACAGGAATTAATTCGGGGCAGTCTTATGGCCTGGGATATACAGGAGGTTAGACCAGAGGAGCAAGGGGTCCCTTTTGGCCCTAGAATCTATGAATCAAGGCAGCGCGCTTGCTTACTACTACTACAGAAAGACCAGGGAAACATCTCGCCCAAAGCAGCTTTTCACATCCCTTCTGTGTGCAAAGCTCGACTGTACCCGTCACTGCACTTGGGCTTGTCACTCGGACCCGGACAGCTCCACATCCCTCGGGGAAGCCGCCACCACTTCCTTCCAGAGACAGGGCGAGAGAACGCCACAGTATCGCTGCAGCGTCAGCAGTCCCGGAGCATCTGCAGGGCGGGGCTGATATATCAGACCACAGACGAATTGCATTAGAAACGTCCCCAAATAGCTCTGACCTGGGAGGAAACGTCCCGGGGCTCAGTATTAGAACAATAAGGAATAACCGTGCGGGGTGCTCTCATCTACGGATCTCAAAGTGCAAATCAGTGTCCTCATCTGCAGGATGCCCAGGGGGTAAACTGAGGCAGGGGGCTGTTTAGTCCCTGTTTTTCATTGGCAGCCAGTTATTTCGGGTGCCTCGGCTAATTTGAAACACCGAGCACCTGGGTTTTAGAAGCCACATGGGCTTAGCGGAACGGGGCTCTGCCGATGTTCTCCAGCTGAGGGTTTGACCCTCAGTCCGCCCAAGGACAGTTCACAGGAGGATAAATCACTGTTGTATGTGCACTTCCGCCCCGCCCCATTCTCCACGCAGGGACGAAAGGCCGAGGCCCGTCTGCCCAGCCCGCTGTGTGGGATGTGGCCAGGCTCAGGAGCGCCTGCGTCGGCACAGCTGCTTGTCGGGATGAGTCCCGTGGATGTCAGGGCGGTGGCAGCGGAGCAGGTGAGGGTGGGAACCGTGGGAGGAGAGGGAAGCAATATTCCAGCTCTCTCACCAGCTGGAGCCCTGCCCCTTTACTTGACCCCGAGAGCCGCCATGATGGGCTGACGGCAGGCCAGATGCTGGGCTAAATACTCAGATTAGTCAAAGCTCGCAGAGCCGAACACAGGACTGGGCACGAGCTGGAAGGGAGGCCTTCAGCAAAAGCCCAGCTAAGGCCGCAGGATGTCCTGGTGCTTCGGTAGGGGGTGCTCTCCCTTATTTGTGCTGACTCCAATGCTTCTCGGTGCTGCAGGGGGCGCTCTCCCCTCAGTGCTGGCGCCAGGGGGCTTGTGCTGCAGGGAGCGGGGCGGGGGCTCGGTAGGAGGCACGCTCCGTTTGCAGGGGGCATTAAAAACTCTTGAGGTCTCCATTTCTTGCAGCGAGTAGAGTGTAGAGGTTAGGACGGGGTGGGGGGGCCTGAGAGTCAGGAGTTGCGAGGCCTAGTCCCTGCCGTGGAAGGGAATGTGGTCCAGGGAAGTGGGAGATAGCGTCGGAATATTTTATTCCCAACTCCAGGGGCCAGCGAGGGCTAGTGGTTACAGCGGGGGAGGGGGAACTCGTGTCAGGACTCCTGGGTTCTATTCCTGCCTCTGCCCCTCATTCACCGCGTGAGCATGGTGAGTCTCTGCTCTTGTCTGTGGCTTAAAAGGGAGCCAGCTGCACTCACATGGGAACTGCAGAGCTTAGCTGGCCCGGGGACGCGCTTTGGGAGCCTTGGACAACAGCCCCCAGATGTTTGCCTTACCCAGCTGTTGGCCGCACTAACTCAGGGACCTGTTTCCCCAGGATGTGGGCGCGGCCGATTGCACCCCAGCATGGCTGGCTCAGCCGAGCCCCACCGGGGAAGCCAAAGCGCTGGCTGAGCAGCAGCAGCGACTGACGACAGAGATGCCAGAAAGGTACGAAGAGGGGATCAGGGACGTGGGAGCTGCCTTCGACCCGTCCCATGCTGCCAGCTCTTCCCCCAGCTCCATCGGGCATGTCTGCACTGCCATAAGACGCCCACGGAACAGCCACCCTGGCCCAGGGCAGCTGTCTGGGGCTCACCCTGCAGGGTTAGAAAACTGCAGTGTAGACGTTGGGGCTGGAGCCCAGGCTCTGGGCCCCTCCTCCTTTGCAGGGTCTCAGATCCCCAAATTTATAACCCCGCAGCCCGAGCCAGCTGACCCGGGCTAGTCGTGGGTCTTTTATTGCAGTGCGGGTCCGGTAACTGACAGAATTGGCAGCTACTTCAGGGAAACGCTCCTCCCTTTGGCCTAGGGGAAGTGCCCTGTGCTGGTAACACAGGTTCTGGTCCTGCATCATCATCTCCTGATCCATGTTAATACCTGCGCCAGTCACACGCTTAATTACTAGCGAGGCCTGCAGTGTATGCAGATTGACCGATGCGCTAATTAGCTCATCCAACAATTGGCAGGAAGTGTGACAGCAAACTTGGCCGCTGTCTTCATGGAGCATGTAGTGCTTTGGGTCAGGACGCCCGTCTCACAACGTCAAGGTGCAGAGACCGCGGTGCCAGCCTGGGCGCTGGCGTGACTAGGTGCGGCTCCATGGAAGCCACCCAGAACCAGCCTGTCTCTCATCCTTGCTTGGCTTTAGCCGTGTTTGCAGCAGAGTCGGTGGGGGCGCCTTTTTCACTCCTTTAACACCGCCTGCGGAGAACGGAGCACCAGCTTTTTCGTCATCGCCCCTCGTGCTGATCTGGGTGCTGGCAGATAACCTTACTTGTTTTGTGCTTAACCCTTAACCCAGGATGGGGGGATGGGTATGTACACACCCACAGACCAATGACGCCTGGGGCCTGATCCTTAATTGGGATTGTTAAGTGTGTCTGCAACATAAACAATTAATAAATAACAACATTCCCCACTGCCAGCCAAGCTATCTGCCGAACTCCCAGCAGATCCGGAGCAGCGGGGCGTTTGCAAGGAGCAGCTGTGATCTCTTGGGAAACCTGTGGAATCTGGTTGTTCTTGATGGGCGTAAAACCAGACTTTAAATTATTTCCCTGGCAGACGGATCCGTTAGTGAGACGCAGCGTGGGGAGTGGATAGGGCACTCGGTTGGGAGTCAGGAGACCTGCATGCTAGTCCCATCTCTGCTGCAAACCTGGGCAAGTCCCTTCCTTGCCCCGTGCCTCAGTTTCCCCTCCCACCTTTTGTCTTGTCTTTTTAGCACGTAAGCTCTTTGGGAGAGTGACCCTCTCCCTTTATGTATGTATTTGTACAGTGCCTAGCGCCGATCTCTGTTAGGGCATTGCTGCGACGATAAACAACCCCTCTCTTCCCATCTAGCACAGAGGAGAGGGGAGACTGGAGCTGCCCAGCCAAGGAAGAGCTGTGTGCGCATGGCGCAGAGGAGCAGCTTAAACTCGCCAGGGGGACCAGTGAAGAGCACAGCTGCTTATCCTGCGTGGAGACCCATGTGCTTCCTTGGCCGGAAGGGAAGGTACAGACCTTAGCTAACGTGGGCTAGCTAAATCCAATCACCTTTGCTAGCACAGACCCAGGGGAATGCCTTTAGCCTGATTTCAGCCGGATGAGTTACAGCCTTGGCAGGCGTCCGCTCCCAGTCAGGCCCTCTAGCTGCTCCAGTGCTATAAATAATAATGGCGCTGTCAGACTCAGGCGCGAGTGTCTCCATGCTCCGGCCAGATCCTGCGACGCTGTCAGCTACACCAGCTGCAGAACCAGCCTTATTTGTACAGGCAGCAGCCCAGCCAGCACGTGGAACCGCAGAGAAGCTCAGATTTACTCTCCTCCCCATGGCCGGCAAAGGCCTATAAGATTTCATCCCCCAACTCCAATCCGTGCTCGGTTACAAAGTGGCGCCGGCAGTAGGGAAACTGATGGTGATGAACGCCCGTGAACACCCGGCCAGGGGGCATTAGCCACTAATCGCCCCATGGAGAGCACCAGCCATTTGAATAATAGGGTTCTGGAGGTCATTTGCATTCTTGGAGCTGGTTGCTCTCCCTCCTTCTTCGAAAGAAATATTAAACACACGACTGGGCAAGGGGTGTGGGTGTAACACTTGTAGGGTTACGGTAGCACCCAGCTGTAATCAGGGCCTCATTGACTGGGTGCGGTACATGCACACAGCAAGAGACAGCCCTGGCCCTGAAGAGCTTAGAATCGAAATAGCCCAGGCCGAGAAAGGAAGGGATTATCCCCATTTTACAGATAGGGAAAGTGAGTCCCAGAGAGACCAATTCAAGAAGGATGTTGATAAAGCGGAGAGCGACTCGATCACAGTCTATAGGTACCCGCACGGGGAACATAAATTTGCTAATCGAGGGCTCTTCAATCCGGCAGACGACTCTAACATGATCCAAAGGCTGGACGGTGAAACTAGACAAATTCAGACTGGAAACAAGGCGCCAACTTTCCCCGGCGCCAGTAGGTGCTCACGCCGCCCCGGCCCCGCCCCCATTCCAACCCCTTCCCCAAAGTCCCCGCCCCAACACCGCCCCCTCCCTGCCCCTATTGGACCCCTTCCTCAAATCCCCATCCCCGCCTCTTCCCCGAGCGCGCCACGTTCCCCCTCCTCCCCCCTCCCTCCCAGCCGTGCGAAACAGCTGTTTCGCGGTGCAAGGGCTGGGAGCTAGGGGGGAAAAAGCGGGCAGGCGGCACGCTCAGGGGAGGAGGCGGAGGTGGAGGTAACCTGGGCGGGGGGGCGGGGAGCTGCCAGTGGGTGCAGAGCACCCACCAATTTTTCCCCGTGGGTGCTCCGGCGCCTATGCCTTTGAGCATCTAGGCCATAGCCTTAAGGATGCCAGCAGCAGCAGGAGTTGCTTCTACAATAGGCCTTCCCTGGCCCGGAGGAGCTGCAGCTGTGCTAGCACCAGCAGAGACGAGTAGAAAGAGCCGAGCTCACCATTGCCTTGCCCCTTGTGCAGTCATTTACACTAGTGCACAACGCTTCCTGTGGCTGCAGGTGAATTGTGCAACAAGCGGAGACAAGGGGGTGGGGGCGGCGGTTAGATCAGGCCATTCTGAACTTTACCCTTTATTTCCTTTATAACCGTGCCCCCCTCCTCCCCCACTTAAAGACAAATGAACATCTCTCTCTTAATGGGCTAATCTCCTCCATTGTGCTCGCTAATTACCCCTTTCCTGCTAAGAGGTTCTTATCAGCACACGGGGGCCCTGGATGGGAAGAGGTTCCTTTTAAAGAAAATTGTTTTCTGCTAGGGAAAAGGGAATAAAAAACCCACATGGCCCTTAACAATATTTATGTGTCTGCCTCACGATTTCCCGTAAGGGACCTGTTTATGTGAACAGCCCCCACCATGAGGCAGGCCACTGCTGCTGCGGTCTTGTCGTAGCAGTGGGGAATGGACTGCAGCAAAAATCCTACTTCCCCATAAGAGCGAACTCCCCCGTTACTGACTGACCACGCCCCGGGTCTCACTTTTACAATCCATTTCCTTAAGGGTCCATTGCTTCTCCAGCTGGGCACCCCCAAGCAGTCTGACTGGAGCAGGACTCCTGGGTTCGCTATTGGTCTTAGACTCTATCTACACCACACAGCCTATGCCCACCATAGATACAACCTGCACGGACAGAAGGAGGCGTTCTACTGGAGTAGGAGCACCATCTGTCCAACTGTAGCACTCCTACGTGTGCATCACTGTGTCTACACTGGGGGTGTGGTTTTGTCACACCCCCGACCCACACAGCTGTGCCAGTGTAAGTGCAGACCGGGCCGTGCAGTGTGCTTTTAGGTGCAAGCCATTTTTGTGCTTATGGCACTGTCCATAAAATGGGCACAAGGCTGCCAGACCTCCCAGAGAGACAGGACTTGTGCTCGGAGATCGGCAGCAGAACAAGCCTTTTAGATGAGCAGGTGATGCAGTATAGATCCCTCCGCTTTTTACCCGGCTCGCTAGAGCAGGGGTGGGCAAACTTTTTGGCTTGAGGGCCACATGGGGGTTCCGAAACTGTATGGAGGGCCGGGTAGGGAAGGCTGTGCCTCCCCAAACAGCCTGGCCCCCGCCCCCTGACTGCCCCCCTCAGAACCACCCCACCCATCCAACCCCCTCTGCTACTTGTCCCCTCCCGGGAACCCCCACCCCTGATTGCCCCCTCCCGGGACCCCACCCCCTATCCAACCCCCCTGCTCCCTGTCCCCTGACTGCCCCCGGGACCCCACCCCCTATCCAACCCCCTGCTCCCTGTCCCCTTACCATGTTGCTCAGAGCAGCTGGACTGGTAGCCGTGCCGCCCAGCCGGAGCCAGCCACGCCGCCACACTGCCCGGCAGGAGATCCCAGCTCTGCTGCCCAGAGTGCTGACCGCACAGCGAGCTGAGGCTGCGGGGGAGGGGCCGGGGGCTAGCCTCTCCGGCTGGGAGCTCAAGGGCCAGGCAGGATGGTCCCGCGAGCCGGATGTGGCCCGTGGGCCATAGTTTGCCCACTTCTGCACTACAGTCCTCAGCCAATTGAAATGCCAACTTTGCCTACCACATGCCAGCTTTCATGCCCGCTTTAGGAACGTAGGAGAATTGCCAGGCTGGATCAGACCAGTGACCGACCGAGCCAGCACCCTACAGTTACGGGATATCCTACCCCACGTTTAAACGCAGTCTCTGAACCATGAGGGTTTACATCCCCCCTAAACCAGCCAAGGCAGATGGTCCCGTGGTTTGGGCCCTCACTTAGGCATTTGGCAACATGGGTTTGAATCCCTGCTCTACCCCTCTTTGCATGTGCCTCAGCTGTAAATGGGGGATAACAGTCTTTCCCTCCCTCCTAGGGGGTTGTGAGGCTAAATCCGTTAGCAAGGTGCTCAGCTAAAACTCCTGGTTAGTTTTTTTTAATGATCTTATTATCCAAGATATTCTTATCTGTCTAAATGTTCAACCCCTTTGGAAAACCTGCCCAGCTTCCACTAGATCACGGAGCAAATTAAGCGCTAGGTGAAAGAATACTGATTTCAAGCAGTGTGCCTCCTGGCAACCCTCTGGAGCCAGCAGAGAAGAGAGACCCCAGCTCCCTGCTGGGATAATCTGACCAGCACCCTACTGTAAAACCCATCCTGCTGCCAGGGCAGTTCTGTATCACAGCACAGCCTGAGGTATGGCCGCTAAGCTCTGCTGAGCAGGGTGGGGACAGCTCTGGAACAATAGCCCGTTCACTCCTCATTGTGTCGGATTGTTTCTCACAGGCAGCAAAGCCTATCTGTCTGGAGGCCGGGCCCGCAGACACTCCATTGTCCAGTGCAGCAGAGAGGTAAGCCTGCGGGTGACCAAAAGCTGCTGAAGCAGCTAGCTGGCATTTTAACCGTGGTGGAGAGCCGTCACAGGGGTCCGGTTACACCCCTGAGAGATGGAACAGTCTTGCAGCTGGCACACGGAGCTCTGCTGACTTCCCGGTAGCTAAGATCATTTCCACCAGCTCAGAGCCACAGAAGGGACATCCAGAGGTCATCTACTCCACCCCGCACACTGAGGACAGACCCAGTAAACCTAGACCGTCCCTGAGAGGTGTTTGTCCAAGCTGGTCGTAAAAGGGGTTTCCACAGCCTCCCTTGTTCGCCCGTTCCCTTGCTGAGCTAGTCTTAAAGCTAGAAATCTTTTCCTAATATCCAACCCAAACGGCACTCACTGCAAACAAAGCCGGTTCCCTCTTGTCTTACCCTCGGTGGACATGGAGAACCGATCGCTGTCCTTAGAACAACCTCATCCATATTGGAAGACTTATTCCCCCCTCAGCCTTCTCTAAACTAAACTGCCCAGTTCTTTTAGCCTTTCCCCAGAGGTCACGTTTTCTAAGCCTCTGATCACGTCTGGTGCTCTCCTGCTCTCACCGACTCCAGCAAAAGCCCGATCGCACCCTTAGAAATGGGGGCGTTTGCCATTCCCCCATGGGCCAGAGCACAGTGTGCAGCCTGTGTCTAGAACGATTTTAGTTGCCCTGCCGGGCTGGATCTCACCGAGCTCTTCTCACTATTCCTAACGGCTCTGTGACTTGCTCAGCTTCTGTGCAGGTGAGTGGCCCTGCCTGGGTATCTCCCTGCTGCAATTAAAGACCCGTGGCAGGGCTGTGGCTGGCCTGGGTCAGCGGACTTGGGCTCACAGGGTTCGGGGCTATAAAACCAGAGTGTATTTAGCCTCTGAGACCCCACGAGGGGTCTGAACCTTTTATAGCCCCGCGGCCTGAGCCAGCTGACCCAGAGCCACAGGTTTTTTATCGCCGTGTAGACGTACCGTGTGTCTGGAGCACGTAGCCTCAAGCTGTCCCTCCCCACAGTGCCCAGCCAACGGCCTTGTTCAATATCCCTCATCACGACGATGCACCGAGATGCAAAGCTTGGCTTCTCTGTTCCAGGAGCTCTGCGGGAGGCCTGCAGCAAGGAGCACTCGTCCCCGTCAAACAGAAGCAGCTGCAGGACTGCTGGTTCGAAACCGTAGCCCCATGGTGAGTAGCCCCCTGCAGAGTTCGGTCTAATCCCGGTCCTCCACCCCACCCCCGTGCCTACACAGTGCCACTCTCCCACCGAAGAGCTCTGTCCGGCCAGCGCCGGGGGTGTCCCAGAGCATGCGTGGGGGAGTCTAGGATGGTTTTCCTGCTGTATCACACACAGCACCGGGATGTATAAACCGCAGGAATCCCAGGAGCAGCAAGGTGATTATGTTCCTTGTGTATTTGTCCCTGCTGGAATCCTGTGCCCAGTTCCGGTGTCTAACTCAAGGATGTCGATAAATTGGAGAGGGTTAAGAGAAGAGCCCCCGGAACGGTTAGAGGATTGGAAAACACGGCTCCAGGAGCCACGTCTGTTTAGCTCCCAGAGATGGTTAAGGGGGGACTTGATCACACTCTGTCAGTACCGACATCACGGGCTCTTCAGTCTAGCAGACAAAGGTCTATAACACGATCCAGCGGCTGGGGTCAGTTCTCCATCACTGGCCACATGTAACTCAAGCCTGGCTGTTTCGCTCACAGGCCTGGTCTGTTTCAGACAGCAATTAAGGCAGGGTGGTCCTTCGGGCAGCCGGACACAGGAGCTCAGAGTGGATCACCGGGCCGTGCTGACCTTGCAATGTAGGAATCCAGACGCAAAGGGAAATGGACAAGGCTCCGGGCTCGCCCGGGAGAAAGTGGCACCAGGTTGCCTAACGGAGCGAATTTCACTCGGTTTAGCTGGCTGCAAACCGCAGGGTGGACGCTCTCCTTTCACGTCAGCTTAAACCGCTTCCTGAAGGATTTAAGCTAAAGTGAAATAAGCCTGGTCTAAAGTGAAATAAAAATATCCGCCAGGGTTAACGGAGAACTCTGAACCGTGTGTGCAGAGGGGCGTTTGCCAACACTGGTGTTAATTCCTCTCTGCTACAGCCCCCGTGCATGGATCAGACTTGGGGGGATGGGACATCTTCGACCCCCACTTTATCTTGGTGTGAGCTTTCTTCCTGAGGGATTGATGGGGGGACGGGGACGCGGGGGGCACCTCTGGTGCATTCTGGATGAGAGGGAGAAAGCCGCAGCATCTCTCCTTTGTAAAAGCAGCATGTTTCTTTGTGCAGGCTTCGCTTGGGCCAGATTTTCCTTCTGCATCGGCCACAGCCCCACCTCCTCCCCAGCCGCCTGCTGCTGGCCCTGCTTGCGACACTCCTCTTGCTGCCAGCGCTGTGCTATGTGGTGCTGCCATGCAGGCAGCAGCCCGGCTGGACCATGCCCACAGGGCTGGCGTGGCCACACCTCCAGCTGCGGTACCTGAGGCCCCCACCTTTGTGACCCCTTCCCACGCAGACAGGAGAAAGCAGCTCTTTGGGGGCCAGGGAAGGTCCATTTTAAGCTGCTGGCCGTCCTCGCTGGGAGCAGCTCTGACTTGAAGGCAAATAAAGAGACAGGCCAATGAACTGGGAGCGTGGCTGTCAGTGCAGGGTCAGCCTGAGCCGTCACGTCCCTGCTGGGTCCCCCCGCAGACAGCCCATGTTCTCGGTCACCTGAGGTCCCTTCTATGGTCCTCTGGCAGCTTTGAGTGGCCTAAGGGCCTTGCTGCCAGCCCTTGGCATAGGGGACGGGGCAGGGGTGTGGCCAGGGCTCCCTGCCCGGTGACGATTCCCTGCCCATAGGGCACAGCAGGGGCTTGGCTGAATGTCCTGGCCCGTGGCTATTCTCTGCCCCGCAGGCTCTCGAGGGGGCAGAGTGGGGGCATGGCCGGGGGGGCACTGGGCTGCGCTATTCTCTACCCCCAGGGCCCATTGGGGGCAGAGCTACTCCTTAGGGCCAGTGGGAATCAGAGTAAGTTAGGGCAGATCTGGGGCTGCTTTATTGACAGTGGGGCCCAGGCAGGCCCCGGATCTGGGGATTACAAAAGGTGGTTTTAAACTCCGTGCCCATCCCTGCCCGAAGCAGCCCAACCGAGGGCCCCGCTCCTGCAGCCAGACCTCCTGGCCTAGAGCTCCATAGCCGCAGAGCCCTTGCTGTCAGCACTCGGGGTTACCCCCTCACCCCAGAGCCCTGAGTCTAGTGCTCAGCTCCCACCCCAGCACACGCCCTGGCGCATCCCACCCTGGTCCCGCAGGCTCGGCGCAGCCACAGCGAGCAAGCAAAGACTGACACGTTTAAGACTCAGCCACCCTGGGACCTGGAGCGTTTGTGTAGAAGCAACAGAACTGTGGACAAAAGCTAAATGACGGTGGACTCGGGGTCTGTCTACCTGGGATCCGCCAGTTCTGCCCGCCCACCTTCCTCCCCCGAAATCAAGCCAGGCTCCCCCGTCAACGTCAACTACGATTTTTCAGCCCGAGACGCGAGGATTGGGAAATGCAGACCGACTGGGCACGCGTGTGGCTGGGTTAACTTCTTCACTGGTTTATTTGCAGCTCCCATTCTCTGCACAGCGCATCGGGGGAGAAATGCCTTTCAGTGGGGGGGCCCAGAAACAGAACATCCATACACAGCTGAGCCATTTCCACGAGTCGCCTGCTCCTCTCCCAATCACCAAAACTTACACAGATTTCCCAGGAACAGCCAAAACAGCAGGAGAGGAACAGAGGGTGACCCCAATCTATCACTACCCTCAAAACACAGCTATTGACCTTCTTACCTCTCTGCTCTGAGGGACCCAAACCCCACCGTGGTCCCTGGCTTCCCACCCACCAGGTATGCCAATGGAGTGGGGCCATCCCCAGAACCTGGCACCCTTCTTAACTGCAGGACTTACAAAGCCTCCAGCTGTTGCAAAACTGCACTCGGCCTGGACGCTCTTATTTCTCTGGGGAGCAAATTACCCTCTCCCTCCATCGTGCCCACAGGTTGTGCGCTAAGGTGGCACAGCTGTTCTTGTCCCGGTGAAGACCTGCTCTCCAACTGGAGAGCAAACCAGAGGGCTGCGGATAGCTGCTAACGGGACCAGAGATTCAACCGCACTAGTATCTGTGTTACCACAGCCTGGTGTTTGATCGGACAGGGAGGAATTACAACCCCTCAGCTCATGGGATTTTGCTGCCCGCGCTTCTGTCTACAGTCGTTCCAGGGGATGTTTCCTTCTCCTATGAAAAACAGCCAGCAAAACGAAGGGCGTCTCTGGGCCGACGTCAGGGGGTAGGGTAGATCGGTGCAGTTTTGAAACTTCTTTTTAGTTGGAGCTTCAGGGACGAATGGAACCACGAAACCAAAAGAGAGTCACATCCTAGTCTCTGCTGCCTTCTCCTCCCGGCTGCTCCAAAGCCAACCAAGCATCAGGATGTTGCTGGACGCTGCGCTGCTGGAGTTTACAAACCAAAAGGGCTCAGGAGGGGAAGGGTTGGGGGCGGAAGGATCCTCGCCACTCCCGCGCCAGTCTGTCCCTCAGAGGATCACGCACTTCTTCTTGGAGCATTTCTTCTTGCGCCCGTTGCTGATCTTCTCCTTGTGTTTCCGGATCTCCCGCACCAGCGTGTAGAAAGCGTCCTCCACTCCCTGGCGTGACAAGAGCAGAACGGGCGAGAAGAGAAACACACGCAGCTAAATGGAGGTTTAGACAAAGTCCCCGCCCGAAAGCACGGCTGGTGCAGAGTTAAGGAGCCCTAGCGCGGACGACAAACGCTGCAGAACGCTGCAGAACGCGGACGCTGGCATCTACCCCCAAATGCTAGGTCTCCTCCTCGCTCTGATGCACAAGGTGTTTAATATCCCTCCCAAAACGCGTTAGAACAAGACTAGCCAGAAGTCTCCAGTCACTTCTGGAATCGAGCTAGGCGTTTTGGGAGATGGAGAGCACCCAGGGGACCCAGCCTAGCAAGGAGAACATGGGTAGCAGCCGTCCCCAATCGAAAGATTTTGTATTTTCCACTTATTTAAAAAAAAAAAAATCATTCTCCGGCCAGCTCTGGGGCCAAGGGAACAGGCCGGTGTCGCTTTGCATCCCCACCGCCAGCAGGGTCCCCCACGCACCTGCCTGGTTTTGGCCGAGGTCTCAATGAAAGGGATCCCGTAGTTCTTCGCCAGCTCCTGCGCCTGTTTGGTGTCCACCGTCCGAGAGGGCAGGTCGCACTTGTTACCGACCAAGACCATGGGGACGTCGTCCGAATCCTTCACCCTGCTGATCTGCTCCCTGGGGCAGAAGGAAAGGGGCCATCAGAGCTGAAGTACACAGCCGGGGGCTGGAGAGAAGACCGACCCCGCCGCCATCCGCCCCCAATCCCGCAGCTTCGGTTGGGGCATTGCTGCCCGGCGGAAAGGACGCCAGGCTGGACAGAGGAGGTTGGGCCAGACAGCACCTGGGCTCCTGAGGGGCCATTGACTAGAGGGGGCTGCTGCTCTGGCTTCAGTACAGAGCCGGAGCCAACGCTCACTGGTGCCAGCAGGTTCTGAATCGGCAACCCAACGCGCCGCCACAAAACGGGGGACAGCATGATCTACAACCAGGCAAGGTGTGCGAAGGTCTGCCGATGATCCCCAACGCACAGCCCCCCATTATCCCAGCCCTGGGCTCCCCCCAGCTCTGCCAATGCCCCTCAATCTCAACCCACAGCCCCCTCTTTATCCCAGCCCTGCTGGTGTCCCTCAACCCCGACCCGCAGTCCCCACATTATCCCAGCCTGGGCTCCCCCACAGCCCTGCCGCACCGGTACCTCTCAACTCCAACCCGCAGCCCCCCGTTATCCCAACCTACCCACGCGCCGCCCCGGGCTGGGGAAAGGACCCCGCTGACCTGTAGTGGTGCACATCCTCGAAGGACTTTGCGTTGTTGATGGCGAAGACACAGAGGAAGCCCTCGCCCGTGCGCATGTACTGGTCGCGCATGGCGCTGTACTCCTCCTGCCCGGCTGTGTCCAGAATGTCCAGCAGGCACGTCTCGCCGTCGATCACCACCTGCTTCCGGTACGAGTCCTGGGAGGGGACGAGACAGGCTAGGAGTGCCCCAGCGCCTGACAGACGGGGCCCCTTGGGGCACATGGGGCCTGGGTAGGCGGGGGCCCCTCTGGGGCAGGCACACAGGGGCTGGGTAGGCGAGGGCCCCTTGGGGGGGGGGCCGGGGGGCTGGGCATATGGAGGCCCCTCTGGGGCAGGCACACAGGGGCTGGGCAGGCAGGGGCCCCTCTGGGGTGTGGGGGGCTGGGGCAGCTGGGCAGGGGTCTCACCTCTATGGTGGGGTCGTACTCGTCCACGAAATGGTTCTGGATGAGCTGGATGGTGAGCGCGCTCTTGCCGACGCCACCAGCCCCCACCACCACCAGCTTGTACTCGGTCATGGCGGCCGGGGCGCAGATCAAACAGCCCCTCCGGGGGTCCCGGCCCCGATCATCGCTCGAGACTGGCCCTGGAACCAGCCACAGCGTTAGAGCGGGGAGCCAGGACGCCTGGGTTCGCGCCTCTGCCACCTCCCGTGTGGGGGAACCCCAGCCCGGCCCTGAGAACTGCCTCCCGCACTCAGTACCAGCCCTGCAATCCCCCCGCAGCCCCCCCAATACCTCCCCCCAGCCCAGCCCTCCCCCCACAACCCCAACACCTCCCCC